ACATGAAAAATTTAGACAGCTATAGAAACAAAAAGGGAAATGTAAACAAAATGGTGTATTTATTTAAAAGACTCAACTGTAATGGCAGAATTTCTCTCACCAGTTGTGTGGCACACCCTGCAAAAGGTACACAATTCATACCTCTTGGTTTCCCTTTAGGAGAGTCCAGAGTTGCCAACGACTCTGCCTTTTTAGTTAGAATTGCAGTTTCCAAGCAGAAAACAGAAGGCTGCTGATCAGCACATCATAGACAGTCTCTGTCACAGTGCTGAAGGGATTACGTCATCTCTTAGGTTTCCCTGTGGGATACTCTAGTAGTAGAGAAGCATCCCTAATTTGTCCTGACCCCATAGGACAATGTGATTCTTACAGTTTTTTGGTTACTTTTATTGCTTGACAATAAATTTTATTTGCTATATTTTGCCTCCAAATAAAGATTCATAATTGATTACCTATAATTGCTCTGCTAGAAAACTGGCTACAGAAAAATGAAGGATCATGGAATCACTGTAGAAGCCTTGGCGCTCAGTCAAGTTCACCTTTTCTGCAGCAGACACTCCTCCCTGTTCTTTTCTTCCTGACAGCAGAACCCCCTTTGGACTGGTTTCTCACTCTTCCCCTTTGAAATCTGAGTGACCTAGATGAAGGTGACCTTGCCCTAGTCATGGGATGAGGCCTGACTGATAGAAACCACTCAAGTGGTACTGTCCCTTTGGCCAGAGATGGACTCAATCCCTCAGGATTCAGCCAATCAAGACTGCATGGGCTGTTCGGCTACCTGGCCTCCTCCATCCAGAGGAACTTCTGACCGGTGGTGGCAAGAGAATGCTCTCCCTGAGTCTCTTTCTCTGACTCTCTTTCTGTCTCAGAAAAGGTGAGAACAAGGAGGCGGTTGCCGGAGTTACCCTAGGGCTTGTCTCCGGGGAGGCAGCCGATCTGAGGACAGGTGGCATTTTAGAAGGACGCCGACCCTGCCTGCCGAGGGGCTTCCCCATCTTCTATCTTGTTGTAAGAGTTCTTTATGGTTAAAGCCAGTTTTATTTGGGCTTCTGCAGCTTACAGCAGAAAATATCCTAACTCATCCACAGAGCCCATGATGAGAAACCCAGATACTTTGTATGGAAAAATTAATTTTGAAAGCTTAATTTCCTGAAATTCTTTCAGGGTTTTCATCTATAATAAGTCTGTCAGACTTTCAAACAAATTCTGTCTCAGATAGTCAACTCTGAGATCAAAATTAAGGAGCCTGAGAATCTAAAATTCATCAGAAGCAACCCTACCAGTCTTTAGAAGTTGTAAACACTATGATTTTAACCCACCAGGGAGGTATAGCCTATCTCCTCATCTTCAATTTTCCACTCGACATGCAAAGAGTCTTTTATTCTGCTTATTTAATGTTTCTTCTAGCTACACCGTTTATAGCCTCAAAAGCTTCCCTTGATTCTCCAGCCCCTCCAGTCTCTGCGATTGATTACTCTTTCACGTTCACAACAGAATTTCCCAACATGGTTGTCTGAATTCCTGTCTTCTCCACCCCACCCACTAGTTCACCTGGCCGCCCTTCCTGACAGCTTTCCAAGGTCTCCACCTCACTGAAAGGGCTTTCTTCAGGACTGTAGAGGCCTGCACTTTGCCAAATCCAGCCATCAGCTCTGTGGGGTTCTCAGACTGCCCCATTTGTGAGAGCCTGTTGCTGTGCTCACCACCTTGCTTTACTTCTATTCCCAGGACACAGCCTTCACTCTGTGTCCTGAAGCATCCTGCCACATGGAGAAGAGCAGGCTGTCACCAGGAGACATCACCTCTCAAGACACCAGGCCGCCTGACTCAGGCTCTTAGAACCTTGGTTCCTGCAGGTAGCCCCTCACCCGATCCTCATATGAATGTTCCTACCTCCTCAAAGGCATGGAAGGTGATACTTGAGACAAAAGGGCTGTCTCCTTCCCGGGTGTAGCATTCTCAGTAAAGCTGACTTTCCTTCTCCCCAACAGCCATCTTAGAGGTTTTGCCATGAGATGAGCTCCTGGACTTGAGCTTAGTAGCTCCTTCTTTGCAAAACAATTTTTTCTCAGGCCAGGGACAGTGGTGCAGACCTGCAATCCCAGCAACTCGGGAGGCTGAGGCAGGAGGATAGAAATTTCAAGGCCAGCCTCAGCTATTTAGTGAGGCCTTTAGCAACTTAACAATACCCTGTTTTCAAGTAAAAAATAAAGAGGGGTAGGGAGTAGCTCAGCTGTTAAGCTCACCTGGGTTGAATCTCTAGTACCTCCCCCAGCAAAATAAATAAATAAATAAATAAAAGGGACAATTTCTTCTTTAGGCTTCCCTGACACCAACACTTCTGTCTTCCTAATTCACTGATGACTCGTCCATGATTTCATGTGCTGGCTCCTTCCCTACTGACTACAAAATGAAGGCATGTCTCCCTGCTCCCACATGGGGCCTCCTCTCCCCTCCGTCTTCACGTTCTCCTAACGTGATCTTTTTCAGGCCCATGTTTATAACCATTATCTATATACCCACAATTTCCATTTTCATGTCTCTGGTCGATTCTCCCCACTGAGCTCAAGGCCTGCGATGTTAGCTGGATGTCAATTTAAAATGGCCCCATCCATCCCTGATTTGCTTTTCCAAATCCTCCCTCAGTCTTTCCCATCTAAGGAAACGGCTCCAGCGTACACCCACTAGGGAGAGTGTCCGTGACCTCCCCAACTCTCGTCTCCACCCCTGTGAAAGTGCAGACTGAATTCAGTGACTGATCACTGCTTTCCCGCCTGGCTGTCGTCCCTAACACAACCAACCTCTGCAGAGCTGTCTCGCTGTTCGTGCTGCTTCTAGTCTTTCTGCCCTTTGATTCTTAATTCACAAAGAAGGCAGAATTGACTTTTAAAAACAGAAATCAGATCTTTATTCTGCTGCTTAAAGCCCACCAATGGTGTCCCCTGGAATATCACTCATGTTCTCTATCTGGGTTCAGAGCTGGCTTGCTCTTGCCTGTGTTTCTGGCACCTTCCTCATCCACTTTCCCCCTCACTCATTATGTTCCAGGTATTCTGCCCTCCCCCACCCTGTTCCTGGACCAGATATGAGGTGTCCCTTAACAGCTCATGAGTGAAACAGCGTGAGATCCTAAGAGGTTAAATGATTAGACTTGGAGAGCTGCAGCCTCATGTGTGGACTGATCCACAGGTGGAGATTGACTGGGCCTAACTCTAGGCAGGGAGGGTGTGTCTGAGGAGGCAGGCCAGGGAACATGCCTGGTGGTTTACACTCCCCCGGCAGGGGGAGCTCTCTCTCTGCTTCCCAATGCTACACCCTTCAGCCACGGTGCTCTGCCTCACCTGGGACCACAGCTGGACTGAACCTCTGAAGCCATGAGCCAACATAAACTTTTCGTCCTCTAAGTTCTCATCAGATCTTGAGTCACAGCAAGACAGAGTGGACTAAAATACCACCCAGGTCCCTTGCGCTTGCTGTTCTTTCTGCTCAAGGCATCATCTCCACTCCTGGACCACGTCTCAGCTTAAGTGCTCTTTCCACAGGGATCTTTCCTGACCTTTGCTGACCTCCGTGAGATCTCCAGGGGCCAGTCTGTGCTCTCCATTGCTCCCCTCTGCCCATCGCCAGCTGTGTCTGCATCACAGTGCTCATCTCCACCTGAAATCAACCTGCTTGCTTAATTGCGTGTGTTCTGTTCAATGCTAGAGAGTGGAGACCTTGCCACTCACCCCTGGGGCAGTGTCTGGCTGCTACTCTGCACTCACTCAATGTTAAAGAATGAAAGTACTGTTTAGAGCTTTGTCATTTTTCACCTTGATTTTCCCAGCAGTGCCTCTCTGGTTTCTCCAGTGTGTCCCCAATACCAAGATGCACCTGGAGCGGTGTTTCTTCCAAGGTCACCTGTGCCTTTCCTGCTGTGGGCCTCCAGCTTTCTCTTCCTCACCCCTCTCACATGTCCTGCCACAGCCATGCAGAGCCACTTCGCAGTCACACACTGTGCACCGGCTTCCTGCCTCCTTGCCACATGGCCTTCCTCTCCTCCAGGTATCACCCGCAACTTGCCCTTCAAATTCATGGTGCCATTTTCTTCTTCACCAAATTAGAGTCAGTTGCTCCACTATTTCTAGTACATGACTCCATTACTGCTTTTTCTCAGATTGTAGCAAATTATTTGCTTTTAATCTTATTCCCCTAATAAATCATTAAAAACCCAGAGTTTCTTATTGTTCTTTAAGATAGCAACGGACACAACTTAGGCCCTCAACAATGCCTGCTAAATGGAACTGGATCAAAGTGATCCCATTGCCATATAAAAAATACATATGTAACACCAACAATAACCACCGCCCCCCCCCACCGAAATAAGAGTTTGAGATAAAGCAATATCTGGTGCATAACGTAAAAACTATACTAAAATAACGTGAGCAGTATTCACTGAGTGCTAACTGTGCTGTGAATGTTACATGCATTTCTCTCTTAAAAGTGAAATAAGAAAATAGAGACCTAGAAATGTGGATAACTTGCCCAAAGTCCCAAAACTAGTAAGCCACCTATTTGGAAATCAAACACAATCTTTTTAGAGATCCAGGTGTACTATCTCTCCTCTCAAGCTAATTTGGATAGAAAATACCAATCACCATGTAATAGAATGCTCAGTCGCACCGGCTTCCCTTAGCAGAACCCTGTGACATATCCTCCCAACTGCCACCTAGACCTGGTCTTCAGAGATCAAAGAAGGTGGCAGAGAACTGCATGGGAAGTGAGGAAGAATGCACCACCCTGGCTCCGTCACACCAGCCCCAGCTCCTCCTCCTCCTCCTCCTCCTCCTCCTCCTCCTCCTCCTCCCAGACCTCGGCCTCCTGCTGAGCTGGTCCCAGTAGATTTCCTGGTTCTTTGAATGAAAGCACCTCCAGCACAAGTTGTCATGAGGCCTGACAGGTCAAGTTCCATCAGGACCCCACGTCATAGACTTGAGATTGACACACATGCGGTTCCCTACCTTGGGCATGCAGATCACCAAATGTCCTGTTGTCTGCGACCTTTTCGCAGAGCTGCTGTCAGGTTTGACTTCTGCAGGAAGGACAAGCTGAAACGGCTGAAAACAAGCAGCAGAGATCAGGACCAAGGGCGTGTTACCTGAGAGTTACTTTGAGAGATATTTTCATTACAAGTCCAAGGTTCACTGCTCAATTAGGAAGTGTGCCCAAACTTATTAGGAAAAAGTAATACCTGAGCTGGGCTTGATCTCTATGAACGTTTTACCTATTTTAAGGAATAATCTAAAGGTCGGTCACCAATCACAAACAGTGAGACACTCATGTGTCCATTTATGCTAAGGAGTAGTTTATAGATAAACATTATGGTTGCCATGAATGAAATCACTGACTATCTAGATATTTATTAAACTTTATGCATGGACCACCACACGTGTGGCCATGCTACCAGCTTTTAAAAAGCCCAACTTGAGACAGAGTTACTTGGCTCATTGTCTCAAGCTATGCAATGGTCAGCACTCATTTGCACTTTATACCATTCCCATGGCATAAAAAAAAAAAATAGTACTCTGCTTTTTTTTTCCCCACTAATATTTGCAAATTCTGAGGCAACACAGCTGAGTTCAAGGCTTATCTTTTAATACTGTTAAGAGTCCCAGGCTTCCACTTACCTTTCCTTTGACCATTACTCGCACATAAGTTGGCTGCACGTCAACCTCGATTAAAGAGGTGTCCATATACCTGCAAAACCAAACAGACCCAATCTTATAATTTCCAAAAACAGTAAGTTTAAATAAGTACAAATACAAATTCACACTTAAGCCCATTTTAAGTGAAGAAAATTTAAAATCTCCATGCTAAAAAGTTCTTTAAAAATTAGTTTTTAATTAATCCCTAGAACAGAGGAATTCCAATATATCAGCAATTTCATTTTAAGACCTATAAGTATACTTGGCATTGATTGTCCCTAACCCAAAAATATCTGAGGTCTAGAAAACCAGAGGTTTGGCAAAAACAGCTTGCCATGTGCTTTCATGAATATTTTATTTTAAGCCCCTGCAACTCAAATAGACAGGAGTGCTGAATCCACTGGGCCTGGGCCTGCAGCCACAATGCTGCCTGCTCAGACCCTCTCCGGACCTGCAGCTGTTCTGCAGCTGTGCTGGGACCACCTCCCCTGGAAAACAAGCATGCTTCCTCCCTCAAAGCACATCCTGCTGCCAGTGATGACAGGGACCCCAAGATCAGGTGGCCACATTTTCTTTTTCTCATGAGCAAATGGAAGACTTCCATTTCACATTACTCATTAAAACAAGTGGTTTAACTAAATAATTATCTGTAATATATTTTAAAATACTGATAGAGGACATTAGAACATACAGCAATGATTCAAAAAACACCAACATTAAGGAAGGTAAGTCAATATGAGGGTTGCAGGCCCAGGCTTTGGAGTCACACAGCCTTGTGGGAATTGACTTCATGGCTTCCTGCTTCCTTACCCGGGTTCTAGTTCCTAACCCCTCAAAACCTCAGTTTCCTCGTCTGTACAGTGAAGCTACTGATCATGCCTCCCCCTAAGAATTCCTGAAGGCATGTGCACGGTGCCTATCTATACTTAATGAAGTAGCACTCTATGTGATTTCATAAAATAATTTCATAATAATAAAAATAGAAACAAGGTCTCTTACAACTTAATGTATAATGTTGCCCATGCTTAGGGCCCCCTAACATGTTCGTCTGTTCCTATCTGCAGGACCCTTCTCTGTCTGAAAAGATCTTCTACCAGTTCTTTGTAGAGCAAGCTACTTCTCAGACTTCAGTTATCATTGCCCATGTCAGCAACGTCCCCGACCAGCCCCCTCCACCAACCACAGACCCCACACAGCATTACGAGCTCTCTTCTCCTTCTGTAAGACTCGTTAGATGTCTCTTACTATCCTCCTTCCCAGCCATAGGGGAACTTTGACGTTAACTAGAATATCCTTGCCATCTCTCCTAGCCCAGCATTCTCTAAGTTTCTACAGATAACTGCTGAGTAAAGCCAGGAAGGATACATGACTGAATGAATTTAACTTCATGTACATTCTCATGAGCCAAGATAATAAAGAATTTAAATGTACGTCATTAGACAGAATCATGAGAATAGAAGGGGTTTACTATATAGGAGAAAGACACCACCCCGAAAATCAGACGTGGGGAAGAGGAAAGTTTCCACTGTGGAAACCTTTATATATATACTTTAGTTGTGGATGGACACCATATCTTTATTTTATTTACTTACTTATTTATTTTTCATGTGGTGCTGAGGATGGAACCCAGGGCCTCACACATGCAAGGCAAGTGCCCTACCACTGAGCCCCAGCCCCAGCCCCAGCCCTGCAGGAAACTGTTATTTTATTTTTTTATTTTTTACTTCTGAATAGACAGCAGCCAACAGAGCCACAAATGAAGGGGCTGTGTGTACCATTAAACTGCAGAAAGGAAAAAAACCCCTAAAAGTGGAAAGGATCAAAGGATGAAATCGTAAACACTTAACGAAACCCAACAGAGACGGCTGCTTGGGGAGCTGTAGTGTTAGAGGACATGAAGCAGCTGGGAAAGCACTGGAAACTCATTAAAAACAGGTGACAGGCAGCAAGTGGTTGGTGGGTATGGGGAGTGGGAAACACAGCTCCCATTCACAAAACGAGAGGTGAAAACCATGCTAATGTCCCTCAGCTGGTGAATAGACAGAAATGTGTCATCTATCCACACAATGGAATACTATTTGGCCAGTAAAAGGAAGGAGGTATTTGATACATGCTACAACAGGGATGGACCTTGAAGACATTTTGGTGAGTAAAAGAAACTCTCACACAGGCTGTGTGTTGTATGACTCCATTCATATGAACTATCCAGAACAGGCAGATCCAAGAAACAGAACTGGTCAAGAAACCAAGAGTGACTGCTTAAAGAATATGGGGTTTCCTTCAAGGGTAAGGAAAACGTTCCAGAGCTAGACCATGCTGGTGGTTATACAACATTGGGCACACACTAAATACCCCGAGTTGTGCTTTGAAACAGTTGAAAAGATGAAGTTTAAGTTCTACCTATTTTACTACCATTAAACAAGCAAAGACCTAAGGATTTACGTTCTGACTTCTGAAGCCACGATTTGCTTTGTTGAGACTCACCCTGTGACAATGTACCCCCTCCTGGGTAGTTCCAGGTCAGCAGCTCCTCCTCCCTCCCAGGGTTACGGGGAAGTTCAGCAGAACAGAGCACGTCCTCTAATGTCACCAATGACACTCACCCACATTCACTGACCCCCTGACTGCCCTCATCCCTCATTCTAACACATTTGTGGAGGCCATGAGGTGCCACCAAGAGGTGCCAGGCACTGACTAGACACAGGTCGATTTGTCACATAGGAACCCAAAGCAGGAGAGGCAGGGAGAGCGCTGGGCGGGGCTAGCTCCTGTTTGAGTCAGACAGTGGGGCAGGCCACCTCTCCATAAGGTGACACCTGATCAGGTGGCTGGAGGACAGGAGGCTGCAAGTCACAAGGACACTGAGGGTGTCAGCAGTGCAGGCAGAGGACGTGCGTGTGAGTGGACCCTGAGGTGACCCTCAAGGAAGGAGGCAATGTGACTTGTGACAAGGAGGGGTACTACGGGCTGAGGGCAGAGGGTCAAAGCCATGGCGTCTTGGGAAGAAGAGACGAAGGATGCTCTGCTGTGGTGACGAGAGGCAAGCAGGACACCCTGGCCACCTGCCCTCGGGAATAAAGCATCGGTGAGACCAGGGGGAGGCAGGAGGGACAGGCAGCTCCCTGGTGATCAGCCTCAGGTCTCCAGGTGTGCCCGAGGAGGGGCCTGACCACCTGCAGCTTATTATTATGTCGAAGTGTTTGGGAAAAACACAGAGGACTATGGAAGTGAAGTGGCAGTCTTAAGAGCAGAGAGGTCCCCACCGCAGCAGCATCAGAACACAGCAAAGCTCTGCGAATCACTTGACTCTGGGGTGTTCCCGAGTTGATAGTCATGGGACTGTGGATTCACTGATTTTTCCTTTCATTTTCATGCTTTAAAAAAATCACAGTAAATTCTGTCTTGAAAAATGAACTTTTCCATTTAACCACGTGGCAAACCAAATTCCATTTCCAAATGTTTCGGAACTCAAAGGTCTGCTCCTGAGAATGCAAGCAAGGAAATGCCATGAGATAAGTGCATAAGGAACTGGTTTACCTGTAGACAGCCAAGTCCACGATGATCTGGTTACGCTCTTCATCATCTTTCAAAGAGAAGTCAAGTCTAAAATATAACACATTTGGAGAAGTCCTTCAGCTACTGTGCTGGTGACCTCACCACGTAATCAAGAGTAAATTGGATAACAATTTAATAAAATTCTCCAATTACAAGCCTACTTTGGTAGTTGGACAGTAAAATAGCCATATTTATTTTTAAGTATCAACAGAAACGTACAACACGTCAATAAATCACTTACTTCACGTTGTTTACACGTGAGACTCTTAAGGTCAATGACATGCAAAAAATTAGCTTTGGTGCAGAGATGGAGACATCTGGTGGCTAAAGTTTTCTTTCCCATTTCATCCAAGTTTGCTGGAAGCCACCTACAGCACTGGAGTTATTTAGGGAAACTTAAATGGGACATTTGCAGTCCTTTATCTGACACCCTATTCCTTGGGTTTCAAGAGCGCTGTCGTCTTTCTTTCCCTTGCCACTTGTCCCTTCTTTTGTGACTGACCTTTCCTTTGCCCTGGGAAGGTGGAAATGCTGCCAGTCTTTTGTTACTCCATTTTATGGATGAAGAATCAGAGGCAGGATTTCAGGACCGTAGGTCTTTCAACAGGACTAGACTGAGTCACGGGCAGAACTTCCACCCTGTTAACACTCTACCCACAATTCCTTAGCAATTCAATTTTCTTTTGAGCCCCTCACTTATCCAACTAAGAACCAAAACTAAATTGTCTGGAAAAAAACAACTGCAGATGTGGCTGCCAGCAGTGGTCGCTGGGGCGGGCCCTCTCATTGCTCCCAAAGGTCCAGCCATACAGACCTCTTCAGTGTCTCAAATGACCTGTGCATTCCTGGTCCCAAACTGGAGCCTTTTTATGTCCTGTCCCTTCTAGGTGGACTGCTTGTTCCTCAACTCCCCAGCCAGCCAGCTTGAAAACTCTCCCTTAAGAGAATGTCACTGAAAGTCACTTTCAGAGAGGTTGCTCTTCATCCTCACTTTCTGCCCCCCCTTTGTCCCTGGCAACAGAACCCCTAGGCAACTGGCTTAAAGAATGAAGACTACACCTTCCTGCCCCATGAACTCAGGTGTGGTCATGTGATTTACACAGTTAGGGAATGTGTCCAGTGGCACTTTCTAGGGCTTTTCCTTAAGGGAGTGGGTGCCCTCCTGCCTGCATTATTCAACCGACAAGAACAGATTGTAGGAGGCCAACACACAAACCACGCCCACTACTTAACAAGCTTCTGGAACTGTCTAGGCAAGAGGGAGTGCTGCCTTCTCCTAGGGGGTAGTGATGAGGCGACGAGGAGCAGTGAGACTCGGCTCACTGCAGGAAGGGCTCCCGAGGTTCACTGATCAGGGAAGAATCCAGGACACACCCCAGGCTTTGGTCAGCCAACGGGTGGGTGTTTCTCAGGGAGAGGCAGAATGGTGGGAGACCAGGCACATGAGGGTGGGGGGTAGTGGAAGGGAAAGCAGGGACTCTGCGTCGTATGTTTGTTATTTTACATCAATATAGTGATGGCAATGTCCGGGAGGAGGACAGTGACCATGAGGAACTGGGCAGTAGTAGAGGGAGATGGTGAGTGATCAGTTCTTCAGGGACTCTTCCTAAGTACACTGGTTTCAGGGGCAGGTTTCGGTGGTCAGTGTGAGAAGAGTGGTGGTCTCACTGGGGGTCCACAGAGGGGTCTCAGTGGACTTTTTAGCTCCACAAAGCAGCTCCTGTCACAGCGTTGCCTGCCTGCAATGCCCGGCCTTTCCGGACCTGCACTCCTGTCGGCTGGATAAAGAAGGTGTATGTGTGGTGGGCACTGGAGACTCAACCGTGGCAATCACCAGAACTGGGTGAGCACGGGTGGCACATCAGACTCACCCTGGACGGCTGTGTGAACTCAGGCGAGTCACTTCACCTCTGAAGCGCAGGCTTAGGAGCCGTGAAAAAGAAACCCTGCCTACCATCCAGGATTGCCACGAGAATGAGCGATGCCCGGGAGCCACGCCACACTCTGCCTCCCTCACGGTAATAACAGCAAATTAGATGATGGACGCAAATAGGCTTGGACTAATGAGACGAAGCGGACGGGATCTGGTCCACAGGCTTGCTGATCTCTGTTTAGGCTCTGCAAGGCCTTTCAGCCCACGTTCTCCTTTCCAACTTGCAGACAGAGTAGATCAGATGTGATTAGACTTGAGGATTCCCAGCTTGAATAGTTTTCCTCTCTAATTAAGTTTATTGAGATATTTATTCCAATTTCTATCCCTGGCTCTCGAATGCTTTGCAGATGTGTTCCAGAGGATAATGTAGAGGTAAAGGAGAATTGTAAGTATTCTCAGCCAGCTTGTTCATGGCAGAATTTAAAAATTCATAAAAAAACAATAACAGCACAGTGGCAATTTTCAGGCATAAAATTGTATGTAGTCCAAAATTTCATGGGATACATAAATAAGTAAGATTCCATATGGCAAGGTCATTTTCTGGATATCAAGAAAATTACTTGAAAACATAATAGATGTTTGGCTTTTAAATATACACAAAATGACATCATTATTAGACTCATCCAACTCGTTAAGAGTGGTCAATTTATTCTTAGCAAAGCAAACCTGTCACTGAAGCCATCGTGACCACCACCCACCAGTGTCTCCTCCCCAGGTCCTGCCCTGTCCTCACGCACTTGGGCTCATTGACATTCAGGGCCTTCCCATCTTCAGTGATCAAAGTCCGGGCCGGTTTCACATTCTTCTTTTTTTCACTTAATAGGGGGTAGGTGGGAACAGGAGGCAGTGGGGAAGGGAAAATAAATAAAGAGAGCATAAAATCAATTAATATGTTTTTGTGAAACAGTTTAAGAAAAATTCACCATATATATAAACACACCAACAATTCACTTATGAAGTCAATTCCTTTAACTCTATGCTGGGAATTAAAAATCAAACCAGATTTTGTATATGGTTGTATCTAAATCTGCAAAGCAAAAATGTGACCAAGACAATTTGCCAGATAATTTGAATGGGGGAAGAAGACTCTTTTTGATGAAATGCCCATGAATATTTAAATGAGTCTTATTTTATGCATGATTTACCCAGATAACTGTCAATTCTCCATTTGTGTGTAGAGCTTCTGCTTCAGTTAAAAGTACAATTTTTAAAACACCAAGTAGAATCCATTCTACAGACATAAAAAATTACCATTACATAGGATCTATATAAAAAGACATTTCTCAAAGCATTATTTGTAGTGGCAAAACCCAGAACTATTGTGGATGTCTACCACTGGAGGAGTGATTGGGTCCATCATGGCACATTCACACTATGAACTATCTTACAGCTATTAAAAATGGGTTTGCTCTTTCCATAGCAACCCACAAAAGCGTTCACGATGTATTTAGAACAAATACATAAAATATAAGTCTTCTGTTTTTTTAAAGACCCCAAGTCCTACATTTGCAGAGATGACTTACACAATTATAGAAGGAGGAAAATGTGTGGTGGCATTGACCCAACTCTGTTAACTTTGGGAGAGGAGGAAAAGGAAAGAGCAGAAAGGAGAATATTTATGGAATACGTGAAGTAAATTTAGTCTGTTATTTTTATTTTTAAAAATTACTGAAAAAATATTTTTAAAAACTTCAATAGGGCACATGTGGACAAGATCTAGAAGATGAAATGGAAAAATTTGTTGAGATGAAGGGATTGTAGGCAATTGTGGGCCTTGAATTTCTATTGTCCTTTTAATAGAGATTCTGCGTCAGCCAACTTTATTTAAAAATTCACTCACATTCTTCTGCATCTTAAACTGAGCCTCCAGATCTAATTAAGCTACTATTTCAATGACTCAGGACAATTAAAGAGTATCCAGAAATATCTGGCTTCACCCGACACACTCTGGACAAGAGCTGAATTAGGATGAGAGGCTGGCCTGGTCCCTGCCTTTCCCCAGCTGGTGAAAATACCAGGAGACCAAAGAGACACATGTCCACGGGTCCATGGATTGGGCAGACTACCGTCCACTAAGCAGAGAGACTCATCCCTCCATCCAGCTCAGCCCAGCTCTTTTAGGTGTCAGAGAGAAAAACAATTCTGCTGATTTCAGGCTCAATACTATACAGATTACACCCCCCCCACACACACACACACACATATAAACATGTGCATGCACAGGTGTGTGCATGTGGAACGGGGTAGATATGTTAGAAATACCACATACACACATTTTGTTTCAAGTGACTCTGAAGTCTGCAAAGGGTTTATCTGATTCTCTTAACTGCACAGTGGGTGGTAAAACAGGTGGAATAAGCCTTGCTTAACAAATGAGAAGGAAGGTACTTGCCAACATCACAGAGAGAACCAATGACCAGGTCACAACATTTTCTGATGTTATTCCAGTGCTCTTCCCAGAGCAATGGTGACCTCTCTACATACAAAATGCCATGTTTTACAAATAAGTGATTTATATAAAACATGATTCTCTACTGTTGCACCATCCTGTGTTTCTTACTAATGAAAAAGCTTTATGAAAGCAGAAGAGATTTCTAAATCCTTCTAGTTGCTTTTAGTTGATAATCATAGGGGATATATTGTGTCTAATTCATCTCATTGCCATGTAGATTACTATATTTCAGAACTAATTGATCATATTCTCAAGCTTGTGCATTACAAGTATTCCCAGAAGTAATATTTTTAAAAATCATTTAAAAATATTTTACACATTAGACTTAAGCAATCACGTGAAATAGGATGACACAGGTCAGGCCTATCTTCGGAAAAAGTACTCTGAAAATAACAGCTTAAGCATCCTAACTTCTAGCAAATCATCAAAGTTTATCTAAACACATCAAAAGTGGAATCATACTGTTAAATATCCTAAAAAGTTGTATCATAAAAATAAAAAATGAAAGTAATTTTAATTCTTCATTTTGAAAATTAATAGAATAGACTCAAAGGAGCTCGTTCATCTCACAAAACAACATTTTCCTCTGTACCATGATAACGAGTATTTCTAACCTAACCCATACTTAGCAGACATATAAATGGTTTAAAAAGCTAAAGACATACAAATAAAACCTGAAATTTCATAATTTGTGATGTTCTAAAGAAGGTATTTAGATGTTAATGAATGTAAGTCAATACAATTCAATAAAATGCTGTGTGTAGGAAAAGCAAAATCTTCGTGTGAGAGCTAACAAAGGCTTAACACCTGATGGATAAAATAATGTGTAATTGTGAAAATATAACGTAAGAGTGTTGCCAAACTCCTGGTGATAAGGGAAAAAATGGAATACCTTAATTTTTCCTGATCTTTTCGTTGTTTTTCCACATGTCTAAGAGTTTCCAATCTAGATTCTGGAGTATACAAGGAAGGTTTATTCCAGAATTCCAGATCATCTTCACTTTCATTCAATTTCTTTTTGTTGTATTCCTCTTCTTGTGTTTCTGGTGCCTGGAAGTGGTCTATAGTCTCTGAAGAAGATGGGCTAGGAAAGTCCAATAAGTACAGAGCACGTAAGACCAAAAATGGAAATGAGTTTCATCCTTAATGCTGCCCCTTAAATATCTTATACACCTATTTTTCCTCATCAGCATGTTGCCTTTGACTGACAATGTGTCTCAGAGGGTCTAAGCCAAGTTGGAGGACATACTTTCACAGCACTGAGACAGGCCCTGGTCCTCTATCCTCAGAACATGTTGTATCAGATTTGAGGGCTCATGATCCTGGTGATGTGCTACCTGGGAGGCCTTGTTAAACAGTCCAGCTGCCTAGCCCCCATCACAGTGCCTTCAGTAAATCTGTAGTGGGGCCCAGGTATCCTGGCGTATTTTGCAGGGGTTCTGATGACAGGCAAGCATCACTGAGCCGAGCCATCACCTCTCCTGCAGAGCTGCAGCCATCAACGCCACCCTCCCACGCTGCTCCAATTACCTCCAGGTCCTTTAATGATCTTCTACCTCCAAAATTTTCTTGAAGGAAACACAAGGCTTTCTGTGGTGTGGCCTCTGCTTGCTTTATTTTTCAGGGTTAACTTCTGATTTTATGACTTTAATGTGGGGATGGTTCTCTGATTTCTCTTTTATCCCTGTTTGTGGACTGTCCGAGAATCAAACAGTGTCTCTATACATCACGGAATGGGTATTACATGTGATACTAGCATCCATTCAACACAAGCTCAAGAAGTATTTGTTGGGAATCTCCTGAGTGCCAGGCATCAGAGACAGGGTTCCAGTAAAGACAGAGCAGGACACTGCTGTCAGGAGATGAGTCTATTCTAGTGGAGGGAAAGTGACCTCGTTCCAAGAATGTTCACTGGGTATGGTCTCTTGCCTCTTCCTGGAATATATACTCTGTTAGAAACTGATATTAAATGAAAAAGTTACCTGAAGCTTTTATTACCAAGTATTTCAAATAGTAAGTACTCAGTAAATATTGATTTTGTTCTTTTAACTGAAATGAGATAACATAAAAAGTTTGCTTGGTTGATCTGAGATGAACTAAGATGTTTTTTCAAGTGATTATCCCAAAACATTGGAACATGAAATTTAAATACTATAAATGGAATATAGAATAAAATTATGCTTAGCTTCTTTACATATTATAAAATGTAACAAGGTATCTTAATAAGTAAAATAATATAAATCACTGAAAATAGACACTTTACCAAACTACAAAGAAATTATTTTACTTAATGACAAGGAATTGAAAATGTTTTTTTTTTAATTTTTTGGTTATAGATGAGCACAATACCTTTATTTGTTTGTTTGTTTGTTTGCTTATTTATTTATTTATTTATATGTGGTGCTGAGGATCAAACCCAGTGCCTCATACCTGCTAGGCAAGCACTCAACCACTGAGTCACAACCACACCCCAAGAGCATTTTTTTTTTTAAAGTTGGGAATGAAATACCGATACCCCTTCTTACTTCTGTTGATCTATCCCATATTGAAGATCTTCCTGGATACCATAAAAATAATAATAATAATAATAATAATAATAATAATAATAATAATAAAGCGGAGGCAGAAGGATTGAAAAACTTTTTTAAAGTTGCTATTTATAAACTATGTAGTTTCATTTTTTTAACACAGAAAACTCAGCTTATCCTATAGGCTACTGCAACTTTTAAGGAGGTCAGCAAGACTGTTTAATACAGCATCAGTATCCAGAAATCATTTGTCTCTTTATACATCAATAAAAACCATTTGTATTTTTTTATTCTATTCTACAAGATTCTTAGGAATAAATCTAATGAAAGATGATGTAATACCTTTATATGGAAAATTTAAAACCTTAGTGAAAGACTCAAAAGAAGATCTAAATAAACAAAGAACAATTCCAAAGTTCAGCAAGGAAAGGATCAATACCATGAAGATGTCAACTTTGCGCTAATTAAATTAAAAGCAATTCCAGTTAAAGTTCCACTAGGGGTTTGGGGGAAATTTGATTAGTGGATGCTAAAATTCATGCAGAAGGGTAAAGAACGAAGATCAGCCAAGATCATCTTGAAAAAATGAGAGTATCTCCTGTCAAATACAAGATTCACTATATATTCAGAGAAATTCAAATCAAGTGGAGGGGCTGCTATGCAGCAGCCAAGGGGCACCAGAAGTACACCCAGGTTTAGAAGGACCTGGTGAGGATGACACTTCTTATCAGTGGGGAAAAGAGCATCTTAATAAGTGGTGAGGAGCTCGGGCTTCCTATCCAGGGAGCATGGAGCACCCTACCCTCAGTGCCAACAAAGGCTCATTCCAGATAGTCAGAGATGACGCTGGGGTTAAGGCGGATTCCATTAAAAATAAGGAAAAAATAAGTTTGAGTATATTCATATTTTTAAATTCTACAAGTAGAAGCATTTATAATTAAAGACACAAGATAGACTGGGAGAAGATACGTGTAAAGAATTTGTATTCAGAACATAAAAAAAAACTATAAATCAGGAAGAAAAAACTTGCAACTTATTTAATATAAGCAAAAGACAAGGATGGAGGAAATATGAATGGATATAAACATATGAGAAGATAATTCAAATTCATTCTAATTTTACAAATGCCAATTAGGTTAAAAAATTAGGTGCTATTTAATAACAAACTTTGTTGACCATATTTTAAAATCTCATGTTATGAGAGCTTTCCTATATTGCTGATAGATGAGCTTAAGTTTGGAAAACATTTTGGCAATACATATAAGTTGAAAAGATGTCATAACTTATTTGTAACAGTGTTTCTATTCAATATCCCAGACAAACTTTGATATCTTCACAAGGAAATGTGTGCAACGTTGTCTGAGAAAATGGAGCAGGGCAAACAATGCAAGTGACCATGCACAGAGGGACGGCTGCTCCAGGGCTGCTCAGCTGGCACTCACTGGTAGGGCCTCAGTCTGTTAAAGCCGTGTGCATTCTGATCTGCCAGGGCCAGAGAACCACTGGCTGCTAAATATTTTGAATATTATCTCTAGAATAAATTAGAATTTATTCATCCAATGAAATGTTTGTTATTCCATAATTAGGATGAATGAATTAGTTTCACCTGTCTTCTTCGGCACAGATCCCAAAAACATGTTGAATAAAAAGCAAAGCTACAGAAAGATGCCATTCATACCAAATACATGCACACTCACTCACAAACTGCTCTTGTTTAAAGAGCCAGAATCATGTTTTAAGGGCATCAAAAATATAATGAGGTCAATGTATATCAAATATATACCAACTTCAGGATGGCAGACACCTGAAGGAAAGAACTGGATTCTCAGCACGCTTATAACTCTCTTAATGGCATTTCACTGTTCTTTCAAAAAGATGCAAAGCAAACATAAACAATTGTCATTTATCAACTTGGGTAGTGGAATTATAGCTTCCTATCCAATTACTTTTAAGACATTTGCCTATGAATTCAGATTCATAAAAAAAGATCAATTAGAGGGTTATTAATCTCATTAAAAGTATATTCATCATATAATTCACAAAACAGAATGTTTTGTGATGCAATCAGAATTATTCAATTTATAAGCACGTGATTTGCATTTAACTTTTCTAAGATATTCCTACTTTATAAATCAAAGTACACCTGTTAATTCATCTTTCCTGTAAATCTTTTATACAGATTTCTCTGAGGATAATTTTAGATGCAAATTAAAGTTGCTAGTTAGAAGAGACATTTTTCTCTAAGGGAAGAGAGCCTCCTAGAACTGTCATGAACTATGAGATGTTCCATTTCCCCCTCCAAAATTATATCATACTTTATTCTTCAAATTAATCTTCTGCAATGTAAGTGGTACTGTGAACACCTTGGGGAGAGGACACAGATGGCTGGCCTAATAAGACTTAACTAGAAGCAAAGCCGGGATTGACCTACGCAGCAGTGTGGATGTCTGTGTACCAACGCCCGTCAAAGCCCGGGTCCCTCCGCCTCCTCCTGTCTTCCTTGTCCTGCTGCTCCTCCAGCTTCCTCTGGGCCTCCTCTTTGTCTTTGGCTCTTCTGAGGCAGTAAGCTTTTTCCTGCTCTCGGACTTGCTGCTCAACCACTGGATAGTTTTGCAACGCCTGGATCCTTTCTGAACGTTCTATTTCTTTGCCATCCAGCCACTTCAATAAAAAACAAAACAAAACAACAACAACAACAACAAAAAAGCACAATTATTCAAAAGTAGGAACGCAAATGAAGCCCACGATGATTCTGAATAAAATATCTTGAAATTAGAAATAATAAGTGTAGCATAGTGATAGAGAATTAATACAAAGTAATTAATACAAAATATCAGAAACACTCCTCTAAATCAATGTTTGTTTCATACAATTAACAGTTTATAAAGCACCTTCACTGGTACTAACAATAAACAGTCCTTCTGTCACAATTGGGAATTAATGCAAAGCCCTCAAAATATGGATATTAATTTATAACTATTCACTATATTAAAGATTTGAATACTTAAACCAAATTGCAGCTCCAAAGCAAAACAATGACACTTCCCAAATGCTCTCTACAATCAAGACCTTGAATCTTCACCAAATTGAGCTCAATACAAATGAGCCCATGTTCTACCCTTGACAATAAGATACAGAGTGAACTATTGTTATAGTCAATGTATCCCTCTGGTATTTTTATAATTTTCTAAATTAAAATATTAAAACAAGACACCAACTAAAATCTGAAAAGACAAAGCTCTCAGTTTAAAGATATCCATTTATTTGCCTAGCCTCATTCTACAAAAAGATTAAGGTAGGGAAAGATGTGCTGGGCAGATGATGGTTCCCCAGAAAAGTCCACGTTGTAGCCTCAGCAAAGGTTATCTCACATGGCAAGAAGGACTGCAGACACGATTGACTTAAAGATTTCAGATGGCAGGCTGACCCTTATAAGAACGACAGAGTCCTTATAACTAAAAGAAGAAGGCAGAAGTGTCAGGGTCGGAGTTGGGACAGCTGTGGAGGTGATACATTACTGGCTTTCCACAGCTCAGAAATGTAGATGCCTTTGAGATGCTGAAAAGGGCAAAGAAAGGGATTTTCCTGAAGCCTCCAAAGAAAGAGCCCGGTCAACACCTTGAATTTAGTCCAGTAAAACCATTTTGGACTTCTGACCTCCAGAACTATAAGATAAATCTGTACTGTTTTACGCCACTAAATTTGTGTTAATTTGTTACAAAAGGAATTCAAAGGAAAAAAAAAAGAAAAGAAAAAAAAACAGAAAATGTAGTAAAATATAAAATAAAAAACTACTGGGATAAGTTAAATTATAAATCAAATTGTAATGTGCAGATTTGGAAAAAATAATTTAAAATAAGAACACACATGGTTGCTACAGACTGGCTGGTCATTAGGTTCTAAAGCACTCAGCAATCAAAGCAAACTAGCAAAACATGATCAGTTACACAATTTTCTCTATCTTTCATGAAAAAGTATGATATTTTCTGGCTTTCCTCTAATACTTAGCTCTAAAACACACTTCTAAAGCAGAGTTTCATAAAGGAGAACTTGAGGAAAATCAGAAACTGACACCACCACATAGAGAAACAGACTTCTTCTAGCACCCTTCAATGTAAGATGAGGTCACAATTATAAATTTAATAAAACCTTTTCCTTTTTTTGCATTGTATTTTCTATTGGTGAATTATAATTATATATAATAGTGGGATTCATGGTTAGATACTTATACATGCAAATGGTATAAATAAAATTTGGTGGATTTTCTTCCTCAGTGCCTCCCATAAAACCTATTCCTTAAGGTGATACTTGCGATCCACAAACTTAAATTAACAGAGTTTAAGCTAGGGTTAGGATGTAATCATTTGAAAAATTCCCAATAAAAAAAATTTATTAATTGTATAAATGTAATACATATCTATAATACACATAAAATATAAGTATTACTATATAAGTATTGATATACTATACAAATAACATACTTAAATACCACAAATATATACATATTGTATATAAGTGTATGATTTTATAACAATTTGGAAAATTCTAAAAAAATTTAACTTCTTTCACCTGGGATTTTAATGACCATTGGGAGTAAAGGTGATATCTCTTACTCAAATATGGAGTACATTTATTTATGTATTTATTTAATTGATAATCTGTCTTTATACTTGGTTTAAATAACTATTGATTTAATTAGGCTGACTGCTTCTAAAGGAGGATGACAAATGCCCCCTGGCACCTTACCGACAGGAAACAAAAGACCTCATGCTGAGTTGATATCAAATTTGGGACTGTGCCCCAGCACCTACTCCAGGGACCTCAGCCTGCTTGATGACTTCCATTAGGTCTTCTTTGAAATTGGCCTTCAAGTCAAAAATCACTTTTGATTTCAGAGGTGCTGGTGAGCAGGAATGAATGGAGTCTTACGTTGAGCATTCCAGTATTCCTTAAACTTTCTTTACTCCTGATCCCACAGCACAGAGGTAGTGTCCACACCTACCGTTAGTGACAGAGGTAGTGTCCACACCTACTGTTGGTGACATAGGTAGTGTCCACACAATCATGTTTGTTCATGATTGTGCTAACTCCTCTGTGTGGGAATTCTCATCCAGGCCTACACAAGGGGAACGAAGGGGCAGCTCGCAGGCAATGGGAAAGGAGGCAGAGCCGCTGTCTGCTCACACCCCTCTTTTTCACAAGGCCACAGTGACTACTTCCTGCCTGAAGTGGCCCAGACACTGAGGAAAGAATGCTTGCAAGGGCTGACTCTCCTCATACCTCTTCATATGGCTGCTAAAGTCAACTACTACTCCTCCGTCGTTATGGGTTGAATTGGGTGAAGTTCTAACCTCCTGACTTTATTTGGAAGTAGAGTCCATGTAAGTGTAATTCACGAAGACTAATCACATGGGCAGTGTGGACCCTAATGCAACCTGACCAGGTCTACAGAAAACATGGCATGTGAAAAGACAGGGACCCAAGAAGGATACTATGAAGACAAAGGTGGAGATCAAGGTACCATGCCAACAAGACAGACAAGGCCAAAGACTGACAGTGAATCTTCAGAACTAGGAAGGAGTCAAGGAACAGATTCTCCTCCCAGCCCTCAGGGAGCCCGCCCTGTCACACCTTGTTCTTGAACAGCTGGCCTCTAGAGCTGTGAGACGGAAAATTTCTGGTGTTTCAGATACCCAGCTTGTGGCATTTTGTTACAGTAGTCCCGGGAAAATAATACATCTATTAACATAATTATTTTCAACCAGATCACAAGGTCTTAATAAAATGGCAGTTAAGATTCTAAAGTTTATCAATCCATTTTTAAATATGAACAAACACATTTACGAACATCATTTTCCAACAGAGGCTATTGTAGCTAGTGTCTATTACAGCTACTGACTTAGTGCAGTCTTTCTGAAATGAAAGCTTTGATCCTGTGGTTGTGCATTCATGCAGAAAGAAGAAGCAAGTGATGAGACACATGTGGGTTCAAATCCTACCTGGCCCACTTGCCAGATGTGTCAGTGTAAACCAAGGGTGTCAGTTCCCTGAGCCCTGACCTCCTCATCTCTGAATGCACTGCACTGTTTCCTACACAGGAGGATCAGAGATACTGTGCACGCAGCACCTGCCACTACCCAGTCCCATTTCCAGTACCTGGATGACAGTCTCACACAGCCAGCCTGACACAGCAGCACTGACACGGGGTCAGCTGTGGCTGCCATCCAGTCTTATAGCTTCTCAGTCCTTCTGAAGAGGTGGCCCTGGAGTTAGAGGACAAGCTCCGCTCCTGTGATACTCTGATTCTCATTCATTTTCTAAGAAGCCACTGTACAATGATGATCAGTCTTGCTGTGTTTGATTCTAGATTCAGTAACCTAAATCACTCATTCTCTTACTCTAGGAGATTTTACATTAGAAGGAATGTATCCCACTAATTTAGCAGTCAGCAATCTCTCAACTGCAGACAGAACACAGAAATCTAAGAAATAAATGCCCTCTAAGACCTGAGAAGATGCTGATCACAAAACTGACCCATCCGTGTGTCCTCTTTGTAGCAGCATGGAGTCACACGGAGGCTGGGGACTCTTGAAAGGACATGAAATTAATACTACCACTTTAATATATTCTCAGTTGTATACTTCCTCTTAAAATGATATTTTCCTAGGCTCTAAATTTATTAAATCCAGGGATATAATGGGGCTATATTCACATATTATAATATATATTTTGGGGTTGTCAACCATGGTTCCTAGTTTGTAACTGCCTCCCCAAGGCTGGTCCCCTGCCTTTGCCTGGTTATAAAGAAACTCTCGGACTGACCTTTTCTGAGAGTAGGCCTTAAGACTCCTCATTCCTGAGGGTTCCTCACCTCACTCCTTGGGGAAGACAGACTAAAGACACTAAACAGGCCTTTCTGGCTTCCCTGCCCAGTCTGTTAGCAACCATGCCTGTGTGATGAAGTCTCCATTAAAACAACAGTGCTCACAGAGCTCTCGGTTTGCTGAACACGGGGAGGACCCTGGAGGGAGGTGCACCCTTCCCACAGACCTCACCCTATCCTCTCCTCATCAGTGTCCTTTATAATAAACAGGTAAACATAAGTAAGTGTTTCTCGGTGAGCTGCTGAAGCAAGTTAAGCAAACTCAAGAAAGCCCAGCTCACAGCCAGTCTGTCAGGAGCACAGATAAGAACACGTGGGGCCTGTGACTAAACTCTAAAATGAGGGGCGCAGTCCTGCATTCTAGGACTGAGCCCTCAATCTGTAGAATCCTACACTACCCACTTGGAGGTAGAAGACACTTGGATTAGAGGACACCTGGCTGGGGTCCACTGCTGGAGAGCTGATTGCCAGCTTATGTGTGGGGAAAGTCCACACAGCTAGTGTAGGAAGTGTCCACGTTGCCTTGGTGTGAGAGCAGATGACAGAACAAGGCGTTCTGAATGTTTTCCTGGACGAACACAGAGAGCAGTTGTTGCTGAAGAGGCCTCTGGACTAGCAGCATCAGCATAATCCAAGAGCAAAAATGCAAATAGTGTGCATGGTGACAGACCTGACCCAGGAACTAGGGTGGGGAGTACAGAAACCTGTGCTTTTAACAGCCCTCCAACTACTCTCACGCACAGCAAACGCCAAGGTCCCCTGCCTCAGAAATTGAGCTAATAAAAAGCAACAACAAAAAAGTAATTATGAAAACAGAGTAACTACATAATATAAGTGTATGTAGCTGCAGCTACCTTTGGAACACTAACCTACTGGTGGTGCAGATGAATTAGTAGTGATGATGATGAATGCGGTTTGCAACAACTGAACTCAACAAGAAATACTTCAATTAAGGGAAAACATGTATGAAAGCAACTTTAAAATTTAGAAATCAAAGAATTCATTTTGTTTCTCTGGAATATCCCATTCTCTGCAGCAACACTCTCCCTGACAATGCTGTGACTAAACCAGGAATTACTGGAGTTGCTCATTTTCATTTTTCTGTGCCCTTCCACTGTAACTTAACCTTTAGCTGTGGAAGAGAGGCCACCACAAACTCCCTGTAGCCATCGAAGTCCGCGCACGGGTTGCCCATGAGGAAGAGCTCCTTCAGGTGGATGTTGCACTGCAAGGTCTTGACACTGCTCAGCTCTCCAATGAAATTCACAGTCAAGTCAAGCTTTGCCAGCCCTTCACATCCTGTGGAGAAAAGGAAAGGAAGAAAGAAGAAAAGTCACAGTGTATTAAAATGTGTACGAAAGCACATTACAGGTATAAGAATTACAATATTTTAAATCTCCTGATTAACTGCGTGGTTACCAAGAAGTGGACTTTCAGAGGTACCAGCTCAAAGGCTTAGTCTTGTTTCACTTTCCTATCTTCATCTCCCCCTTTTTCCATCCCTCTGGTCCTCCGGCTAGGGCAAATCACCTTCCCTGTTCACCTCTTCAAGGCCCAGCCTGGGGACTGCTTAGATCTGGTCACTTCCAACATGAAGAAAGCCAAGGTGGTGGCTACAAGGGTGGGCATTACATGAGAGCAAAACTCCCCACGAGGAGGTCCCAAGGTGTCCTCCTGGGAGTTGCCAGGAACATAGGACATATTTCATCATAGAAGATGATGCCCAGCGACCATCATTTCACAGCCAGCCAATGCTACATGAACTTGAATCAAATTCAAATTTGACTTAACTGTCTTTACTCACTGACATTCCATGAAAATTTGGTGGTTAGGAATTAGGAGTTGAAGTCTTCCCTCTGTCTCATCCTTGCTACTATGACCTTGGACAGACAGGTTACAAGCCTTGGTCTCCTCATCTGCAGAATGCTAACGGTATTTGTAAATCCATTGGCACGTGTTATTGTGAAGTTAAACTATGGTGATTCCTGTGAGGTGCTTAGCATGCTCTCTGACACTCAGAGGGCCTCGGGAAGACCAGCTGTGACGCAGCCACCCAGTGAGCACTCTTCTGATGATCACGTGGCTCCCTCGACAGGGCTCCCACAGGAAGGAAGGAAGCATGTTTTCACGAGCAGAGAGTTTGCAGTCCTTTCTGTGAACTAAGAAGAGCTGAGCTGGTTTGGTTCAGTGTCAGGCTGTCTCTGCCTGAGACCGGCTCCTGCTCCTGGGACTGACATGGCAGATTCTCCAGCCTTCAATACTCAGGAAGTCCATCCCAGAAAACAGTGAAGATCTACCTGTCTGCACTTATTTCTTCAAACACCTACACACCACCCTTCCTTTATGCTCCCTGATTATGTTGCTTTTTCTGTCTCTGTTTTGTGGCTATTTAAATTAAGAGTAAACTTTGGTTCCGGATAGCTTTACATCACCAATATAAACGCACTCCACACTGGTTCATCACTCTGCAAACTGCATCACCTTTGGTAAGGTTTTCCTCATTTCTGAAAGCTTTACAATGGAACTGACTTCACTGAATGACAGCGTCCCTTCACCTGAACACTTTCTCGACTCTAGCACCTGACTCCCTTTGTCCAGATTCCATGTTTTCTTATCTAGTCAGACCCCAAGCCAGGCTCCTCCAAAAACCTAGTTGTGCCTTGGTGTTCCCAGACCCAGATCTCACTCAGAGACCCATCCACCCACCCACCCACCCACCCACCCATCCATCCCTCCATCCATGCAGGAGTTACTGGGATCCTGCTCTGTACAAGTTACTCAGCCAGATCTTCAATATACAGTGATTTTTAAAATTCTTTTGTCTCTGGCCTCAAGTTTATCTAAGATACAGAAAGGAGACAGAGATGGGTATTCCAGGAATGAAAAATTAAATACACAAAGGCACCAGGAAGTGAGGAAGAACCCAGAAGTAGGCAGGACCTACAGCCACTGGTTCTTCCTGCCCAGTCCCGACTCATTGCTCAACCTTTGTTCTTGGCTTCCAATCCCAACATTCTACAACGTTTTTTCCTCTTGAAGCGAGCAACAATCTTCACATTAGCAAGACTAACAGAGCTTATTTTATCACTAAAAAAAAACAATTTACGGCATGTGGCATGAATGACCATGGATTCCCTTTCAAACCTCTCAACTGTCTTTCCTTGTTCTCCTTACACGGCCATCTTTTCCTTTCCATTCTTGTAGGACTTCTCCAACTCTTAATTCTAACCTGACCCAATATTCTTCCAGTGTCTTCCTGATGACAACAGTGAAGGTCACTGAGTTAACGAATCCCAGACTCTGAGGACTCCCACATGAAAACTCCATATTTGACCTTCCTGTTGAATGTCATCTTCCTATGTCAGAATTCCTGTAAGACACAGCACCTTCAACATATTCCAAACAGAACTCTCCTCACTTCTTCTCACTCTCCAGTCATCAATACAGTTTGTCTATGTCTAAATTCTGTTAGTGTCACTACCATTTTTGTGTCAAATGTGGGTTTGACACCAAAGGTCTAATCATGAACTTGAAAAATCATTGTCTCAACCACCTCATGTCACCAGCCAAACCCTCCCAGTCTTAACTCCTCGATTTTCATATACTTCCTGTCCACTCTTATTTTCTTACCTATACTTTAATTCTTGTCACCTTTTACATGGAATATGAAAATAATCTCCTGAATCTATCCATCCCCAAAATATAGGAAGTAAGGAAGAAGGGGAAATGGGAAAAAATCAGGAAAATGGAAGATAAAAAGCGGAGCATCCTATCCTATCATGCCATGAACCAGAGAAGAACCCAGAGAAGGATAAGAGCCATCAAAACACAGGGGCCTGATTGAAAGGGCTCCTTCGACCCAGCCTGGGGCAATGTGATTAGCAAACAAAATGACAGTAACATTATCCACTGAGTAAAACAGGAATCCATGAGTCCATACTGATACAAGGAGCCATAAGTGAAGGAGTAAATAAATAAATGGGAGAGAAGGCAAAGTTCTTTCTTAAGTAGAATGTCATCTCATAAACATAAAAGGAATGGCAGAATTACAAGCCATTAATGAATGCTAAAACAAGTATGAAAGCATGATGAGGAATAAGATAGACACACAATGTCAGAGTATCTTCCACAAGTTACTCATTAATTAAAACATGAAATGTAATGACTGTACAGTAGAAAAGTGTGGTAGACACAACCTTCCCCTGTGGCAGACACGGCCTTTCCTTTCCTGGTGACTTACCTCTATTTCCGCATGACAGTCACTCTCTCGTGCACACATTACCACATTGTAATTCTCTGTATGCTATTTGCCATATCTGATATTCTTCCTTTTTTGCTTGAATGTTGACCTATCTCCCTCAGTTAGAATTCATGCTCCTTGCAGAGTGGGACCCTGTTTTGCATATGGCTTTATTTACTACGCAAAAAAGACTCCATGGCACAGGGAGGCCTTAGAAATACTTGAGGAGGAAAGGAGAAGGGAGGAGCGAGAGAGGGAGGGAGTAAGAGAAGAGTGAGGAGAGCCACAAAGAAAGGATACATGGGTAACTGGGGCAGATCAGTCAACAGGGAGGTCAGTTAGTTGCTCAGGTGAGAACTCAAGGAAATTCAACTTCAAAGATAAGGGAGCAGCAGAGGGAAAAGAAGGGAATTGACAAGGCTCAGTCTGGGTCAGATTCCGCCAGAGCCACCAGGTGACCAGGATAGCTGAACATTATGTTTTGACAAATATACTTTTAGGATAAGAAATAAATCAGCACACATTAAAAAAAAATAAAAGAAAATTACGCGCCCAATTTGGAGAAATTGTTAAGCAAACTCTAATAGAATCATAAACTATTAAGTAACAGTGAAAATGATGGTTATCAAAGCTATATCAGAGCATGGGGGAAGCTTCAGATCTGAAGAAAGTGGAAAAAGATACAGCACTGCCCTGAGCTACAGTTACAACAGGGTACAAGGACAAATAGGAAGAAGACACACTGAAATGTCACCAGTAATGATGGAATTAAGAGTACACTTTACTCTAGTTTCAAAACATTTGCAACATGGTTATATTTGATATTTTGAACAAATAAACAAAAGGAAAAAATACATGAAATTGATAGAAAACTAAGGTGTAAGTCATCCTGGTGTCCTCAGGTGTCACAGATAAGTCCTCGAGGCGTAGACTAGGTTAGTAACCACGTGGCTAATATACTGGTCTAGTGCTTTCTCAGTATGAAGCTCTTTATACGCAGTATCTTACTTAATCCTTAACCCTAATACTACGCCCGTGAGAGACGGAATGAGGGGTCGGGGGGAGAGAGAGAGAGAATAATTTGTGTCAGATAGCTGAGCGTGGGCGCCTGGCTCTGAGAGGCTGCCATCTAGTGAGCTCTGCCATTCCTCATGGACAGCAGGGATCCATCCCTTCTCCCCTCCCTGTGCCTAGTCCTAGTGCCTTGCCTGCAGTAGACTGTGGCCACAGTGAAGTCCTGGGGCCTCTAGGCTGGGCCACAAGCTCACAGCTCACAGCTTCTGCTGGAGTTTCTAGAATGCTCGCCTGGGCAGGCCTGCTCCTGGAGTTACACTGGGACCTGTCAGAAGCCACGTGAAACGTCTGCCTACCTTGAGCTCATGGTGCTGTGGGACCTGAGGCTCCTGGGAATCTCAAGGACAATGTGAAAGAACAAATTCTATATGTGTGCACAGAGGCCGAGAAGCAGCGCCAGGCAGGTAACCAAAAACAATCTTAGAAGTGGATCCTCTGACAGCAGGTGCTCTAGTGCTGCCAGAGACCCAAGGGAGACCACCGGCCACCCTGGAGGCACTGAGATAGATAATTAGAACTCTAAAACAAGTCAAGTCTGACATTACCAGTGATCTCACAACTCCTAAATGGAGGAGTTAGGATTTGAGAGGCCTCTCTGAACTGGTACACTTGAGGGTCTCTGTGACAGTATTTATTACCAAATCATCATCATTATCTTAAAATTACCAAACTTAACTTTTGTAGAATACAAATTTGGGTCTACAAGCGAAGGCAGTTGTCACCACCCAGGAAAGGGTGGCCTGGGCAGGACAGGCCTGGAGTTCACAGTGGTAGAGAGGTCCAGGCCAGCTGGAGAGCAGAGCTGGAGAGAGTGGAAGAGAGGAGGGGATGGATAAAGTTGATTAATGGCTTAGTTATCGTTAGATGGGAAAGGAAGTCCTGGTGCTATTGCACTATAGGATGCCTATAGATGATAATAATATGCTGTATATATACATTTGTAAAAGCTGGAAGGAATTTTAAATATGTTCACCATAATGTAAAA